CTGAGCCGAAGGCAGACGCTTAACGACTGAGCCACCCAGGCACCCCCCATTCTCAATATTTTAATCCCAAATCAAGCTACACAAACTATGAAACATTATCTTGAAGGGGAACATAAGTTATAAAGATGAACCACAGGACTGGGGGATGAGGGAACAAGGAATGTCTGAACCAACAGTGTCTGTTTGCACAACACCAACTCCCCCGACACCAAACTCTTCAGAGCCTCGTCCTCAATAATGAGCAAAGAAGCAGAGAGAGCCCAACTCAATCCAATCCATCCTATGGATAGCTCTGTTTGCCAAATAAAACATTAATACTCTGTATTAATAGTAGACATATGGGAGTGCCTGGGTAGCTCAGTGGGTTGAGCATAGTATTCCCTCTCCCTTCTTTATATCTCCCCCTCTTCCCAGAGCACTCTTTATTGAACTAGCTGTTCAATTTAAATTGGTATCAGGGGCACCTGGTTGGGTCAGTTGGTGGAGCATGGGACTCTTGATCTCGAGTTGTGAGTTTGGGCTCCACATTGGGTGTAGAGATTACTTAAAAATAGAATCTTTATAAGTAAGTAAGTAAATAAGTAAATGAATAGGTTTTCAATTTTTTAGAAAGATTTTATTTATTTGTCAGAGAGTGAGCACAAGCAGGGGGAGCGGCAGGTAGAGGGAGAAGCAGGCTCCCCACTGAGCAAGGAGCCCGATATGGAACTCCATCCCAGGCCCCGGGGATCATGACCTGAGCCGAAGGCAGATGCTTAACCGACTGAGCCATCCAGGTGTCCCAGGTTTCCAATTTAAATAATGTTTTATAATGTCCAAATTACTATTTATTAGGGTTGTACACTTACATAGAATATGATAACATTTAGGTAATTAAAAATTTTTTTCAATGTAAGAGTATAACGCTAACAATATATAGTAAATGGACATTAAAAAACAAAACAAGTAGGAAGTATTTTTTTCTTGAGTAGTTTAGGCCAACAATTATAAACCATGCTTTTGTGAAACTCTGGTACTCAGGAACTGGACTGAGGTTTTGAGCAGAATTTTTCAGAAAAATACCAAATTAATGGAACTTATTTTCTCTATTTAAAAATTTTTTTATATTTAAAAATTTTATATCAAAACTGTTTCTCATAACTTTGATACCTCTCTCCACCTATCTATACAACAAGCTAGGCTGAGATGGCATATAATTTTGCCAGAAAATTATGTGTTCACCTGACTAAAGGCAGCAGAACAGAGGTATAGTCATGATCTTCGATGGCAGACTGCCTGGGCCCAACTCTGGCTCTCTCATTTCCTTGTTGAGTGGTCTTGGGCTAGAGGCCAATTACATAGGAAGCTTAAGCTTCTGGACCCCTCACCCAAGGTCCTCACTCAGTTTGTTTTCATGGGTTTGAGTTCCTTTTCTTAAAGGTAGCCTCTAAAATTGCTAAATGGATCTGTCTCTGTTTGGTGTAAAGTACTTACCCTCTCTGAATATCAGTTTACTCTTCTGTAAAATGGGGATAATCACAGTATGATAGTATTAACCTCATTGTGAGAATTATATGAGATAATATGCAAAGCAAGTAGCATAGTGAGTAATACACAGTGACACTCAATGAATGATAACTATTGTTTTGATCACCATCATCATTATTGAATTTATTGTTTTAATTTTAACATGTATTCATGGTACTCCCCCAAGAACTCCATGATAGGCAGGAGCTCCACTATCTTTATATGCCTAAGGGCCCCTGTTTGAAAGGTCCAGCTATTTGGAGATGGAGGCTCTGGACCCCCTGTAGCTTTATAATTCTACTAAATCATGAAGTCTTAAGATGACCTGGGGTAATAGCCATTATTTATTACGGTGGAGAATTACTTTGAATCTTTGAGACTAAGATCTATAAAAACACAAATTTTATAGTAGTTTTCCTTTGGGTACAATAGCATTAATAAAATATTTTCTAACTAAATGAATCTAGAGAGCATAGACAATGTTTTTTAGGACATGTTCTTCTTGCATGTTAGGTAGAATTATTTTTACAAGATGTTTATGATTTTTTTTTTATTTTATTTTATTTTTTTTTTCAAAGATTTTATTTATTTATTTGAGAG